AAGAAAATTTGAGATGAAAATGCCTCGGTTATCGAACAAAATTTTGGTTCTTGAACATTGGCAAACCGAGTTAACACGAACGGAATAATTTTTGAGTTGACCACCATGTTGTATACATTCTTGTGCTGTGCTGTGCTTTTCTTTTCCAATTGTTTTATTTATTGTACTGTGATTTTTTTTGATTCCTCTTGGAAAAACAGTTTCAGTTTACAAACATTTTGGGTTACAAACGGCCTTCAGGAAATTAATTCATTCCTGAAGGCCGTTCGTAACCCAAAATGTTTGTAAACCGAAACTGTTTTTCCAATAGGAATTTTTCCAATAGGAATTTCCAATTCGCAAACCGAGGTTCCACTGTACTGATAAAAAATTCATCTAAATAATTTTTCAGAATATAAGAACCTGGAAATAGAAATTGCAAGAATGTAGCATTTATTTTGTACACAACCACAATTCCAACAGTAATAGGAGCACTAGGAATTATTAAAAAGAATACTAATACACATCTTAAGAAAATCCCAGGAATTCCATCACAATCTGAGAGACAAAAGACAGCACCAGTGAGCACTTGTTACATACTCAGAAAAAAAAAATCTCTCAATGTAATCTAGTCAATAATCATCTAAGAAGAAACCTTTCTTTACCTTAAGTCTCAGATAATGAATTGCATCATTATCAGGAAGAAGAAATAATAATGACTATAAAGACTTGTGAAAATTTCAGTTTTCCTATTTTAATTTTTTGATGAATCTTAATTCTTCAGTTAAAGATTGAATAAGCTCATGGTGGGTTCTAGAACAATAAAGTATCCATAGAAATTCCCCTATCACATTGTTAAATATTCAAGCTTTACGACTTTAACAAAATATTGCAATAACAATCATAAATATGAAGATTTGAAATCGACAACTTTGTCTCATTTCACTGAAACAGCTGTTAAACATTTCTATCTGCCCTTCATTCTTTCATGCAGTTTCTCACTAAAACCAAGTTGTGTATGTCTTTTGTTTTCTATGCAATCAAAATGGAATATCTTTATTTATAAACTATTGGCAGGAGATATTAAACATTTCTACCTTCCCTTCTTTCTTTCTAGCCAAATCCTTGTCTTGCAAGCATTTCTATTAATAATAGTTAAAAAATAATTCAGCAGTCACCCACATTCTCTCTGTATTTTAAAGGTGAGAAGTTCCAACAGCTTCTTTTCACAAACCAAGGCTCTGCGGATCCAATTCTCAAGAGGATATTTCCTAATCACTACACTCTTAACCTGTTCAAGTCCAGAGTTACAAACTTTGGGGGCGGTTTCCTCACACTAAACAAGAACAAAAGTCCATATTAACATATGTCTGCAAATCCTTCTTTTTTGAGTTATTAAGTTTAAATAAAGATTATAGTAGATGGCTATATGTTGCTATGGAGACTAGGTTACATCTGTCATTCATGTACAGTTGTTTAATGTGTATAGTAGTGAGTTAATTGAGAAGTGTTCTGTTTAACAATGGCAGGATATTCATATCATGTGCAAGCAGATATGATTTTTACACATGGCTGCGCAAATGGTAGTGCATGCATGGCTGCACATCTGTATCAGATTGTGTTTCCAGACCAAAGGCAGCTGAATCATCCAAACTTTGCTGCTGTCTATTGTTGCATTTCTGAGACAGGATCCATAGCACCACAACCTATGGTAATAAGTATTTTGGGATTGTATCATGGATTGTACATTTAAGAGTGTCTACCGTAAACTTTAAACTTAATAACTCAAAAACAAAGTATTTGCGGACATTTTTATATGGACTTTTGTTCTTGTTTTGGTTTGAGGCACCCACCTCCAAAGTATTTTTGATACACCTTTATATATATATATATATATATATATATATATATATATATGCAGTTACTTATATATAAATTACTATTCACTTTTTTTAAATATTGCTCATGCCACTGCAATGAAAACTTGTTTTTTAGTTAAAAAAAAATAGGAATAATTAATCACATATCTAATCAAGATTGGATTAAATATGATAGATTTTGATATTTGACAATATATTAAACATTACTTTATCTAATAACTTTCTGTTTCTTTTTATTACATTACATATCATGTGGGATAAATTTTACAAGCATAGGGTTGATTTACTGGGGCACCTTGACATGGTGTAATGGTTAGCAAGCTGGTCTCACAAGAACAATTATGACTAAGTCGTGAGTTTGATCCTTACTGGGTGCCTTATACTTTTGGCCTTGTGCCACATCTAAGCTACACTCAAAAAATCACTATAGGGTTAATTGATTGATTTGTTTTTTATGGCTTATTAACCCTTGTCTTTTCTTTTCTTTTGTGAGTGAATATTGCATTAACAACTTTTGGGAGATAAAAATGATTTTTCCAGATATGAGTCCTACTATTTAACCCATAGCTGAGGGGAGTAGTGATGGATTCATAACAAATGCAACTGAAATTTACATGCATAGGGAGAGAATACAAAAAAGTATTTACAAGGTGATATCATTAGTTATATATCTTATATTTACTGTCATAATACAGAGTGCGATGGATAAATTGTTTAAATTACACAAAAATGAAAATAACACTGATGACATCTCGTTTTAACAGATAATATTTACCAAAATTACACAAAAATATCTTGAAATACTAAAGTAGATTTATTCAATAAAATTGCCATTGACTTCAACTACGACCTCCAGACAACTTCAGAATTTCCTGCATCTCTTCTGGATAGTATCCTTGTTTAAGTTGGTGAATGTTACCATAATCCTTGCCTTCAGTTCATTTTTGGTGTTACAAGGAGTTTTTTTTTTGTTCTCTTGCTCAACTGCACCCCACACATAATAATCAAGGTGGTTGCAGTCTGGGGAGTTTGGTGGCCAGATGTAAGGGGTGATTTGGTCACAGAAATGACTGGGTTCTCCTGTTTGTGTGGCATGGTGTAGGGTCCTGTTGCCAGTTGTAGGGTCTTCCAGCAGTGACCCTTTTAACCTAGGGCAGCACTACCTCCTCAAGGCACTTGATGTAGGCGTCTGTATCGAGTCTGAAGCATTGTGGGAAGATGAATAAAGGTATAACGTCGCCATCACTCGTGATCATCCAACTCTTTCCAAATTTTTTGCACTGTCCTCAGATTGACACCCAAAACACTCTGAAATGTTTGTATTGGAGCTTCTCGCATAAATGTCAAGCAGTACAGCATGTTGTTTCCAAATTTCTGGCAGAGTGAATTTCATAATAGTGCTCTTTTTCTCACAGACAGTGCCCAACTGATCCTATATTGTGCAGTCAACAAAATCAAAATCAAAAATGTGCATGCTCAGAATTAAAAATATAAAATGGTGATACTTTACCCATTGCACTCTGTACATATCCTATTGTATATTATGATAATATAGGATATATATTTGATATTACCTTGTAATAAAAGATAAATAATAATAATAAAAAAAATTATATTATCATTTATTACAAGGTGATATTAGTTATCCTCTATTTCCTACCATACAAGATGCATACAAAATCAGACTTTATCTTATGCTCAATGATTGGCTTTAGATAGTTTGTGGTAGACATTACCTGCATAGTACTACTACTACTGCATCAGCCTTCATATATGTAGGCCTTGTATTCCTCTTTGTTGCTCATAATCTATAGTTCTTCAATGCAGTATTCTATATTCTTGAGTAGTTGTTTGACAAAAGTTTTTGTGTGTTGATCTCTAATACTTTTTTTGCTAGGAGTTTGTTGTCACTGCAGTACATCAGCAACAAATTCTTTATGGTGCCAACAGTGTTCTACAAGTCTTAATCTCTATGATTCCTGAGATGGGAAAGATTTTGCCACAGGGGTCTTTGCTTGACAGGTGTTGATGACATGAGATTTTAAGGACAACCTGGAGCATTCTAGTGTAAAGAGCATTCAGTGTTCTCTCCATTGATGGTGTCAGAGTCCTATTGGTTGAAACCATTTTTTTTTTTTTTTAAATCATATCTCCTCATGCAAGGGCACCATTATGTGGTGTAATGGTTAACAAGCTTGTTTCGCTAAAACAGTTATGACTGAGTAGTGAGTTCGATCCTCACTAGGTGACTCATATTTATGGCCTTGTGTCACATGTAAGCTATACTTATAAAATCGCCATATCACCCCATGCAAGGAAATAAAGCCACTAAGACACAAGGGGTTAATGAATGTGAAAAAAATAGACACATTAATAAGGAGCAAGAACAATAGAAGATTAATCAAGACAATAGATAATGATTGACATTGATCTTCAAAAATTTAAATGCAAAGTTGGCTAGAAAGCATGGAGTCAGAAGAGTGTTACACAAGCGAGAAAAGAAGCTAACATAGAACTTATCGTTACATTTAGCAAATTCAACTGTAGATTGATGAGACTTTCCACCAATCTAGTACTGCACTTAAATTCATAGTCTCAGTACCAGAGTGTAGAGTTCATCCGAACAATTACCATGAAAGTATTTATAGAAAAGGTACAGGTAAGCTATATTACAGTGATGGAAAAGTGACTGTAGCCAAGATGCCAGCTCAGGACCAATAATATTGCTGATTTTTCTACAAGAATGGAGCACACCAGCTCCAACGAGGCAAACTTTAATCCTCCTGACACCACTTAACAAGCTTGACTCTCACCAAACTCCAGGTAGGACGTTATCTTGAAAAAAATCATTGTTACTCTCAAAAGATATTCTTAATGAAATATTCACACGCAAAAAATTCTTATAATCTAAAATGTGTTTCAGTGTTAAATAATCCATAAATGGGTTGATAAGCCATAAAAAATACATAATTTCTTTTTTTCAATGTGATAGAAAGACATCATATGTATGGTTTGAAAAGAAAAGAAAAAAAGAAAGAGTTAAAAATATAAGAAAACTTTAATAAAAAATATCCGAGTAAAGTATTTTTTTTTTCATTTTATTCAGTAAAATTAAGAAAAAAAAAAAAATACTGCTAATTGCTATACCAAATGTGTTCTTTTGTGCTGTAACAATTTATCTGAGCGCCCAAACTCTTTGCCACAGATTGGGCAGGGATATGGCTTCTCTCCTGTATGGATCCTCTTGTGTCGCAGCAGTTTGTCTGAGCGGGCAAACTGCTTTCCACAAATGTCACACGCAAACGGCTTCTCCCCGGTGTGGGTACGTTTATGCCGCTGCAAATGGCTGCGTTCTGTGAAGTATTTCGAGCAGACGTCGCACATGAACATTTTCACGCCGGCATGGCTTTGCTTATGACGATACATCTGGGTGGGCTCTGTGAACAGCTTGCCACAAAGGTCGCATCTGTATAATGTATCCTTCTCATCATCAGCCGAATCAGAGTCACTATCATCAGGGATCTCGATATGGACTGGCAAATCTTTTGTGGAGTTGTTGTGGTCTTGATTTGTATGATTGGGAGCTTTGCCAAGATGGTGGACACGCTGGTGCTGTTCTAGTAGGCCAACATTAGGGAGCTGTTCTGGACATGACTGGCATTTTAACCAGCCATTAGTCATGGAGTTATTTGGGGCCTGGGGATCTTTTGGGCTAACGTCAGGAAAAAGAGGCTGTGGTGAATTCCCTCGTTCAAAACTGCTGTCGCTATCACTGTTGTCGGATAGGACATCTTGTTTTTCATAGCTGTAATGGCCATTGATGTGCGTCCATTGGTGGTTCTTAAGACTGCTGGTGTCTGCAAATTTTTTGTTACAGATTTTGCAACTGGCAAGTTGCCTACCAGTAGGATTATCCATTGCTATTGGGGTAGTTTCTTTTCTTTCTTTATATATATATAAACAATTCTTGTTTGAAGAGCCTTTTTAAAAAGCTGTCTTTTTAATGGTTGCTGCAGTTATAGGTTCCCCTTTTCCTGTAAAAATAACCCTTTACAGATCTTTGCCAAACTTTCATAATCACAATGGTCGAACAGCCAGGGAGAATCAATGTTAGCACCGATTTGTCAGCTGCGCTTGCTACACATCTGTACCTATAGCAGGCACCTGGGTATTAACATTTATAACATTGATATTCTCATATACACAGGGTAGATATGTTATACAATATTTAAAAAAATGAACACAAGTTTGAATCTGACAAAAATGTAATATCTTTATCCAATCAATATAGAAATGAGAAAGTGATCTCTGCTATCAAGAGCTGTTGTTTTTGTTGTTGTCTGTAGAGTTTAACAGATAATCCTGTAAGAAAAAAAAAAGTAATATTATATTTAATAAAAAACACAAAGTGATTTTATATATTAATCAATCATGTAACCTAATCATCCCTTCTTTGTAATAAAATATTCTGATGTTATGGTAATGAGATGTATTATTGTATAAGTGAACATATCATTAGTAAGTGGGGGAGACCAGGCTACTAAAAATAAAATATTGCATTTTATGTTAGCTTTCTTTTGATATTTTTTATTTTATTGATTTAGAAAAGCAGAATTCTTTTTGTCATGCAATACAAGATTTTTTTGGTTTGTTTATCTGCAACTCTACTCAAATTTGTCTAAGTCTTAAGCAACTTCACTCATGATGCCAGTGTGGCTTAAGTTTGTAGAAAAAAAAAAACCGAAACTTTTGACAGTAATATTTTTTCAGGTAATAAAAATATATATGTACATATTTAAAACCAGTGAAATTAATATTCATAGCAATTAGTTAAATTTTTTTTTAATCAGTTCACCTCCAAGCAAGGCAACAATGCCACTAAGACACAAGTAGCTATTGGGAGTGAAGGAACTGGAAACCCCATCCTAAACAGGGAACAAGGGATAAACCTATACTCCTGTTCAAAAGATTGTTGAGGAGTGTGAACCAGGTGATAGGCAAACCTATTCACCCTTATTGGGGAGAGAAAAAAATCCATAAATAAAATTTCAGAGTTCAGGTGGTTTATTGCTTTTATTTAGTGGCATATCAACACCTCTATGGGTTATTTAATCTTTATAATTATTTCAAGAGAATGACATCATTTCATGATTAGATTATAATTACTTAGCTTCATTTTTTTAACCAAATAATTTTACAAAATCAAATGAGTGAAAACTTGTTTCTCCTTGCAAGAAATTAATCATAACAAGCTGTTTTTTTTTTTTGACAATGTCTGCCATCTCTTCAATTTTATATATTTTTTTTTTTAATAAAAATATATAGCTGTTAATTTCACTACAAAAATGTATTGTTGGTAATTTTTTTAGAAAAATTTTTACTATAAAAATGTATTTTCATACTTTCCTAGTTTTTGATTTTAGTTTGGAAAGTTCACTATTTTCCCATAGCTGGGGACTTAACAGGTTGACCTGGGAACAACAGCAATTAAGAGATGGTTCCATGCTCCTCAAAACCTCCACTCTCCCGATCAGAGGCCTTGCTGCCAGATGTAGTTTATTGTCATACCCAGAGTAAGAGTTCAAATGGAGATGTTAGTAGTATAGAGTTGAAATAGACTTCAGAAGGAACTGGAAATACAATCCTGAACAGGAATCAAGTATCACTTGACCTCTGCTCCTGTACAAAAGACAGGGGGAGGTGTATGTGAACCAAGCAATAGTCAAAAGTAGCTGTTCCTATTTCATGTTTTAAAGACATTATTTTATACTGTAGTCAAGAATTCTACCAACTCAACTCATTTAGAAATAAAAAATATCATTTCAATATATTGAGATGTCTTTTTTCTTTTTATTAAACCCAAACATAAATTCAACAAAATCCAAAGAAGCTGTAATGCTATCAATCCTGACCTGGCATCTTGACCTCAGTCATTTTCTCACCACTGTGGTTTCCCTCTGTCTTTTCCATAAATATTTTTGTTCTAATTAGCTTTTCTCCTTGGTGTCTTGACTGCATGAATTTAAGTGTACTACTAGATTGGCAACTAGGTTTCATCATTTTACGGTTGAACTAGCTAGATGCAACTGTAAGTTCTAGTCTAATAGCTTTTTTCTCGCACTTCTCACCTGTGGAACTCTTTTCCGATTTCTTGCATCCCTATCACCTACCATCTTCAAAAATTTCAATGCAACATCAATTACAATTTTCTGTCTTCCTGTTCTTTTGTTGTCCTTTCTCCTTACTGAAGCTTTTCTCATTCTCTCTCACTTCTAGTAACCCACTTTGTCTCCGTGGTCTTGCAAGGGGTGAAATGATTAAAAAAAGGTTCTGGCCACTTTTTTTTTTTTTTTTTTTTAATGCTTTAACATGGTAGGTGAAAAATACCAGAAATTATCTTTAATTCCAGAGGGGTTGGTCTTGATGTCTTTTAATAGCATTTTTGGATTCTTCCCTGTCAATAAGCTTCTGTAACCAATTTTTGGGACCAGAGATCCAATCTAGAACTTGAGAAATTATACAAAGATTGTTTTCAAAAAAGCAGATTGCGCTTCATGACATGCCAGTGGATCCAAACCATAAAACTGTGATAATTTTGGAACTACAGAGAGTTATAATTTCTGGTTTTCAGAAATTTTTTAGGTTTAATGATACCTGGAGTCGGGGGGGGTGTCAAGGAAATCCAAGAGGAATGCATTACATGTTCTGGATGATTTGATGTGGAATTTTCCAATGTTTTTCTTTTTTTTTTTTTTAATCTATATGGACATCTCCATGCTTTCCAGCAAACATTGATCTTCAAAAATTTAGCTGCAATGTCAATCATTATCTGTTCTCTTCTTGATTACTCTTCTATTGTTCTCGCTCCTTAATAATGTTCCTTTTTTCTTATTCTTTCACACACAGTAACCTCTTGTGTCTTAGTGGCTTTACTTCCTTACATGGAGTGAAAAAAATATGTAAGGAAGATAATGGTTAATCCTAAATTTAAGACTGTTGTGGTTGGGGAATCATTCTCTTGGGAGATGGTTTGTGAGTAAAAGCCTTTGGTGTGGAACTTACATCTTAATGGAATACAAAGGGAATGAGGATGGTCTGCTACAAAGTACATGGCATGGTGGGTCTTAGTCATGAAGGTTAGAACTGGTGGAACTAAGGAATGAAGTTCTTTAGAAAACTTTCCATGGAAGTATTGACAGAACAGCAAGGGGGATTGCAAAATTTTGTCTGGTATGTAGGGGGTTAGAGGTTCGAAAGGTGGAAAACAATTCATCACCCACAAGGCCGCGTAGATGCTTTCAGACTTTATTGAGACTAGAAAGTTAAGACTGGGCATCTCCTGTCCATATATGGAAGCAGTACTCAATTTTTGACCTGATCTGACTTTTGTAAAGGTATAGGATAGCAGGAGGAGTTAGATACTTACTGGAGCCTCAGAGGGAACTGAAAACTAATTTCAAATAAATTTATAAGGATCTCCCCCTTAGTGAGCATTAATAGCAGTGTCTGTATTGTGCACAATATATTATTCACAGAATGTAATTGACAATGAATGGAATTGGGTGGTAAAAATTTCAGGAGAAAGAATTAATACCTGTATATGCCAAAATGAATTGTAACTTCAGTTTTCAAAGTTTGAAAATATTTGAAGGATCCTGTAAAAATAAATAAATAAAATATAAAAAAGCTAAACAGAAATATAAATATTCCTTAATATTTTACTTTTGGTAGCAATTTAACATGTACAAAATAAAAATGATATCTGAATTTCTAACACTGTTTTTATATTCAACATATATCCCTTCTTTACAATTAATGTCATTGAATCAAGTATACAAATGTTGTTTAAGATATTTTGACAATACAATACACTCCAAAGTTTGTGCTTAAAATACAAACTAAATTTAAAAAAAAAAAAAAAAAATTACTTAACCCTTTGTCTGAACAACTCACAAAAAGTTTTTCCTTGATTTTCCTATTTTATATTTGGTACCATAGAAAATAAAAAAAACGATCTTAGATTTGAATTTCCAAAGTAGTATTTTATGTTCAACTAGCTTTTTCCCCTACAATTAAAAAAAATGTCATTTTAATTTTATTTTTAAATCATGTGTAAAATCTTGTTCCCAACTTTTGACAGAACATTCTAGTATTCATGTTTTTGATAAAAAAAATTAAAAAAAAAAAAAAAAATCAAGGCAAAAAAATGCTTAAGAAAGAAAGACTAAGAGTGACCCCCCACCAAAAAAAAACAACAAAATATCATTCTTCAATATAGAAATTAAAAAAAGTAATAATAGATGTAAATTCTAAGGAATTTTCTGCTTTTAATCTTTTTTGTAGTTTTTTTTTCTTACAGATCAGAAGACAAAAAAGGGGTTCATGTAATTTTTAAAGTCAAACAAAACATTTCTTCATTTGAAAATATGTAATAAATCAATGTTGTCAATTTCTTTCAATTCAATTTTTATTTTTTTTATATTATCCAGATAAAATGTTTCATAATCATTTTTTTTTTGTGAAATGTTTTTGTTTCTCGTTAGAAACAAAGATCAAATTTATTTTTTGAGCCTTGTAAAATCGTTTTTTCTTTTTTTTTAAATACAAATCAAAAATAGACAAATATTGTTTATATATTTTACTAAAAAATACCGTCTATTTTTATTCGTCCATCGCTAATTATTTTATTTTTATCGAGCGATTGAGGAAAATTAAAATCAAACATTTTTGTTTTGTTTGATTCTTTAACTTTAAAATTCATATCTAAAAACTTAAAATATTTTTTGCTTCTTTGTTATTCAAATTATTGTCAAAAGGATTTTGTTTTCTTAATGTTGTTAAAATAAAAATAAATAAGTTGATACATAGACTCAAGAACTTTCTTTTCTAAACTCTTTTTTTAATTTTATGGAAAAATTTATAAACTTTATTTGTTTATCTAACCGTAAGGTATTTTATTTTTGGTTAAAAAAATAACAAAAAAAACCAACTTTTTTGCTTATCTAACTTTAGTCTTATAACTTTTTAGTTTTACTTTTTTTGTTTGTTTGACTGTCAAAAAAATGAAGATCTGTTTTAGTTTTTGTGTCAAACTTTGACACAAAAACATCATTTTTTTTTTTTTTACTAAACAAAAGAAATATAATAATTTTACAGCATGTCGATATACGTAAAATTAAAAAACACAATTTTTGTAAGAAAAAAAAAATTTGTTCCTGGATTTTTCGATGCAAACTGTTTTATTTTTTTTTTTTAAAAAAAAAAAAACAATTCTTTTTTTTTCACATTGGTTTAAAAAATTGAAACTAGCTTTTAATTATGACATTTAAACAATAAACCACAATTTAAAAAACTGAAAACATTTTAAATACTTACTGCAGTGTAAATTTAGTAACGATTTGAGGTTCGCTGGTTTTGCTTCGATAAAAAAATCACTTTTTTTGTATTTCAAACTTGATTTTTTTTTTAAGTACACATGGCCATCTTGATAAACAAAATAAATGTCATTGTCAGGTTATTTTAGAAACTTGCCTTTTTTTCTCTATTTTTATACTGCTTTTTTTTTTTAATAAAATTTACTTTAACATTTTAGTACATATGCAACCTTATTTTTTTCTTTTAATTAAATAAATGGAAAAAAAAACAGAGTCAATAAAGAACAAAAAAATCAAAACAAACGAATGCCCTTAAAAAACGAAAAGAAAAGAAAAAAAGTGGGAAAATCAGGAAGAAACCCGAAAATGTATTATTCTCAAGAAAATATTTTTAAAAAATCTAGTATTTTAAAAGTAATATAAAACCACAGTAATTAATAATAAGGACTAGTAGTCAAATAATTTTTTTTAAAAAAGAAATAATAGAAGAAAGAAATTAATCTTAAATCAAGGAAAAATCAATTAAAGTCGATGAAGGATTTTTAGACGCATTTTCATTTTTTGCTTCCGAAGAATTGCTTCGTTTTAAAATTTTAAAAACGACAAACATAATTAAGTAGAAAATATTCAAACTTAAGATATAGAAAAGAAAACTAAAAAAGATAGCAGCATTAAGGGCTAAAAAAAAAAAAAGAATACTGACAAGAACCTTTAAACAACACTAACAGAAAGAAAAGCTTTTGTGTTGCTGTTGATGGAGAGTTATCCCCCTTGTTACTCGACACTCTTCTTGATATGAGCAAAGTGTTAATGACTACCAGACTCATCAAAAGTGCTAGGTTAGTGAGCTTCATTGACATACATTTACCTTATTGAAGAAAAACTTTAAAATGATCTTCTTTGTATCGTGTGCCTTCAGGGCGTAGGCTGTCCATAATTTCCTGTCTTTTGAAGCTCTTAATAAATTTTGTCTTTTTGTTATCTCTCTCAAACCTTGTTCCGCCATTAAGCTCACTCGGTAGGCTATGCGTTATTTATCTCTGTCATTTATTGCCTTCAGTCTGACCCGCGTGTATCAGATTTTCCAAGCTCTCTTTCCTCATTATGTGCCCGAAAACTGTCTCTCTCTGAGGTTAAGCTTCCATTTTTTTTTTACCTTCGAAGAATTGCTTCGTCTTAAAATCTTAAAAAAAAAAATGACAAACATAATAAGGTAGAAAATATTCAAACTTAAGATACAAAAGAGAATTAAGTGTCCTTTTTGTTTCCATTTTCTCTAAAACGTCTTCATTGCTAACATGTTCGCTCCATGATATTCTCAGCATCCTTCTGTAGAACCATATTTCTGATGCTTGAAATCTCTTCTTCATCCGTGAGGGGATTGTCCAACATTCACTGCCACATGGGACGACTGATATTACGTAACAGTTGGGTACTCTTTTATTTGTTTCTAGCTCAATGTTTCTGTTTCTTAATACTTTGATTAGCTTTTGGAAGGTACAATTCGCTATCTCAATGCAACTTTGGATTTCAGTGCCGTACTTACCGCCCTCTGTTAAAACATTCCCAGATACTTAAATTCTTGTACTAGTTTGATTTTGGTATCTCCAATTTATAATTTGCATGTTGGACTGTGACTTTTGCTAACAACCCCATTTTACACAAAACAATGATATCAATCCCGATAGACAAATTCTGTAAACTTTCTACTAGGACATGAATAAGTACTTGTGCCATCTGCCTAGATACCTAGTTGGGAACTGATGACATCGAGACGGTCTTTGATGAAGATCAGAAACAGCGTAGATTCGAGGATAGAGCCATTATTATGAAATGAATTAGAAGCGTGTCCGTTCAACGCGACCTTCATTACACGATTGGTTAGGAACAGATTTGTTACGATTGCATTAAGCCAAATATTCCACCATAGACACCACATCCGTTGATCTTGTGAAGAAGGCCAACATGTCAGACTCCGTCGAACGTCTTCGAGATATCTAAAGCCACAGCCCGAGCCTCGGTGGACCCAGAGAAAACGCGTTGGACCTAGAGATACGAAAATACATCCTGTTTATGCGAAAGAAAGCCGTCTGAAATGAGATGCTTACCCAATTTGGCTTTGATTAGAGTCTATAGTCTTCTTTTTTATGTGCCGTGTCCCCTGCAGAACGTATGCGATCATGGCCTTCCACATCTTCCTGTCCCTTGTAGCTCTTAATATGTTTTGTCTTTTTTGTTATTTCTCCCAAACTCCGTTCTACCATCAATCCACTCAAGCTCTTCAATTGTTACGTGCTGCTTCCCTCTATCCCTCCTTTCCCTTAATCTGTTCTGTGAATATCAGATTTTACAAGCCCTCTTCCCTCATTACGTGCCCCAGAAATTTCGACTGTATCTTCCTGATATTAAGTATAAGTTTCATTTTTGTTTCCATTTTTTAAAACCTCATCGTTGCTCACAAGTTCGGTCCATGGTATCCTCGGCATCTTTATGTAGAACCACATTTCTGTTGTTTTAAGTCTCTTCTTCATCTGTGAGAAGCTTGTCTCGCATTCGCTGCCACACAGGAGGACAGTAACAGTTCAATATTCTTTTCTTTGATTCTAACGAAATTTTTCTGTCTCTTCATACTCTGCTTAGCTTTTGGAATGCATCTTTGGCAATCCCAATACGTCTTCGGATCTCAGTGTTGTATTTTCCGTCCTCTTTTTCTGAAAGTGGCAAAGGACTAATATGACGATAATTCGAGGGGTAAGAAGGTTCATCTGAATTCTTAAAGACAGGAACTACCGAGGAGGATTTCCACCAAACTGGAAAGCAGGAAGTAGCGTTGCGTTTATTGTAGCGTTTGGAGAATACAGGAACCAGTCCAGGAGCACGAGTTCCGTTCAGTAAACTGTTAGCATAGAACTTACAGTTACATCTACCCATTTCATCTTGCCTCCAATCCGATCTATCTATCTATCTATCTATCTATCTATCTATCTATCTATCTCATTCTGTTCATATCTATCTATATATCTATTTATCTCATTTTGTTCATACCTATCTATTTATCTATTTCATCCTGTTCATATCTATCTATCTATCATGGTCCAAGTTCCTTGTACCATGGTGATGATCCAAGGTTAGAACCAATGAAAGAATAACACGAACACAGGTATGGAATACAAAGATATATTACAACAGAAATATAATACAAAGAAGTAGAAGTATTAGTAATGACTATCAGATTTGCTGATGAGAACCATGGAGAGGATTGTGATTTCACCTGTTACTTCCGAGAAGGGATGAAAGCGTACATACTGGCATTGATCCAAGAAGAAACCACAGTGGCGCAATTTTCAATTGGAATATTTAAGTCCAAGGGGCCTCACGAAGAAAATCCCAGAATGAGTCCTAATCAGCATGCTGGTACCAGAAAGAGGTTTTAAGGATAGGAGTGTTCTTGTTTATTGAATGCTTGGAAGGAGATATCAATAGCTACCAAAACCGAGTTATCAAGAGGGCAGTATTGTGAAGCTTGGCGAGAGTGGGAAGAGGAGGTAAGAAATAATACCTTTAGAAAGTTTCAGCCACGTGTCGTGGTGAGTATTAAAGTAACCGAGAACAAAGATGTTTGCAGATGGATGGAGAGAAAGTGCCTTTCTATACTATCAGCTATTGCGTCTAACAGCAGTCTTGGGAGGACGGAGAGCGATAAAGGAAAAACGAGATACCTGACAGAGTTTAGTAGCAAAAGACGGAAGATCATGAAAGAGTAGTCAGTGACCTCGAGAGACAATTCCCTGGCCATCGGAAGATTATCCCAGATGTAAACACCTAGGTCATGCATGTGAATACTGGAATCTGTTTGGTAAAGGGGAAGATGCCCTGGAACAAAGAATTCATTTGTAGCAATGGGAGAATTCAAGTTGGTTTCACAGAGGATAAAGATATCTGGCGACTTTCCCAGTATAAAAAGTTTTACGCTGCAGAAGTTGGAACAGATACCACGAATATTGGAGAAAGAAAGATTGAGTGTGTGTGTGTGTGGGGGGGTCGTTTTCTTGTTAACTGGTTTAGTTTTATTTATTTTTTTTGTTGTGATTTCCATGGGATATGTTCTGAGGAGAGAGAGAGAGAGAAAAAAAAGACAATCATTATTGTCGTCAATGGCAATACAACCTAGTCAGTGCGTAGCTGAGAGCAGAGCATAATGCGGCCTCAGGGTTGTCCACCGGAAATACATACAGGGACACCTACACATGCGCGACATGGTACTAAAGTACCCTGATATTATGTGACTGTTGATCGGAGCAGCCTCTTTAAGTGCTACCAGAAGAGTTCGGGCTCCTAACGACCAGTCGGATGCAGCAGCCAGCAAACTGCCAACCCGGTACCCTCATAATGGAAAGTCACAGCCATTGGTTCGTCTGATCACCAAAGAATTAAGACAGTTAAATCATTGTTGTCCTGGTAAGAGAAAGAAATATAACCGGTAAACCATATAGGTAACTAGAGATGGACTTCTACTCCTGTTCAATAGACATAGAAGGAGTGCGGACCAGACGATAGGTGAGACTATCTACTATTAACCTGTAAAAAAGAATTTATATTAACAAATGACTTAGAATAATTTCTAAAATTGGAATGGTAGGGCTTAATGTACTCTTGTCGCCTCAATTTGTTAGCATTGATAAGCAACATTCTAAGCTAAGCACATTCTAAATTAAACAAGTAAGAATTTTGATAATTAATAGCAATGGAGAGAACAAAATGCACGCGTCACAGTGAAGTGTAAGTGAAAACATCATAGTCTAAACCAACAAATAACAGAAAAATATACAAAAATAAAATAAAAAAAAATTCAAAGAATGGCACATCTGCAACAAGAAGATGGCACAAGGCAATGTAACTTACGGACTCTACAAATCCCAAACTGTAACTTGCATTTTTTTTTATGGACATTGTAAATGAACTTATTTTCAATGGTGGGTTTGGAGGAAAATATGGCTGCTCTCAAATGTATCTTGGCTTTCCAAACACTAACTTGAGATGGGTGACCAATGGGGTGGATGGGTGAACAAGTAGGTGGGTGGTTAGGATCCAGGGCAAAGAATTTTGTTTCAGACAGATAGTGGAGGAGGTGTAACACTTCAACCCGATCCTGGATCACAACAAACGGCCATAGATGTAACCTTTCGTCGCGGTCAGCTCGGGGTGGATCCTGGTTTGATCAATGGAGTGATCTCTTCGATCCTGGCCTGCCATACCCCACGTTGTGATTGTTTTGATTATAAGGAGGCCAAGGTCGATTCGTCGCAGGTATCTTTGTGTTAAGCTGGTTCAAGTACAGTCAAATTGGAAAAAAAGCACTTGAAATATATATAAAAAATAATTACTATTTTTATATCAATTCTGCGTACAAGTGTTCGTCGACCCAACCCGTTCCTAACTCGGACGCAACACTTGGGTAAGCTGGTAAGTTTTTGGCTTGCAGAGTTATCAAAATTTGTTTTACTGTTTTGGCAAGTTTGGCTTAAGGCTGAAGTGGGGGGTTCTTGTGTTTGGCAGGAAATGTGGAATCTCTCAGCGACCTCCGTCGCTTTCCTTCTCAGCCCTTCTTTTTCAACTCAAACTGCCTGAATGGCTTTCGCGCATTCATTTTATGGAATCCAACTAGAAACCAATGTGAGGCAAGATATAGGCTGGGTTTCGGTGAATCTCCTGATTTTCAACAAAAGTCTATTATTTTTGGTCTTGAGAAATCAAATTAGTTCATAATTTGGGGGAATTCCCCCTCCCTTGTGGGGGGGGGCGGTTGCAGACATCGCTTCAACCTTCT